AAAAAAAAAAACTAATATTTTGTATGAAATCCTGTGTACATGCGTGGCTTATCACTGTATCACCTGAAATATCCCCCAAAGTATTGTTTTATTATTATGATTATTAATAATAATAATAAATAATAATAATATTAAACAGGATTTAGATAGTAAATACAAAGGAACTTTTCTCATACAAAAATTACCCTGCATCCAAACCAATCCTAAGTGTCCAAAACCACATATCAAATATAAATATAATTAAAGTCTCTATATAATAAAATCTTTTTCTCAAAATAAGTGTATTTCTTTCCTTTATCCCACGTGGTGTTTCCAGATTTTCTTGTACTTCAAAAAAATATAAACACGTGACGTCTGACGCGGAACCATAAGTGCGATAGCGGCCATTTTGGAAGTGGGAACGTATGCTGGTTCCCCTACTAAAGCATACATTGGAAGCTTCTCTGTTACTGGGAGCTGTATTCTTCTGTTTTCGATCATACATTGGAAGCTTCTCTGCTACTGGGAGCTGTATTCTTCTGTTTTCAATGTAAGTTACCTATTAAATGTTATTTTAAGAAATCCACCATCATTTCTAATCCCTGATTTATTCCATGAGGAGAATGGAGGAGAAACAACAGGAGTAATTGGGATCCTGGAGAGTGTTTTCATCCAATATGTGAGGAATGCCCTTTTGGTATTAACATAGGGTAATTATTCACTGTTACACCAGCTGGAGTGGATTACTTTATTGAAACACCAATTATATACCTTTTTTGCACAAATGGAGAAGGAATTTTAGGATAAAGCTGGTCTTGGAAATTTGATCACTTTTTGTATTAACCACTTGACCTCCAGAGGATTTACCCCCCTTAATGACCAGGCCTCTTTTTTCTACTCGGCGCTGCACTAATTCAACTGATAATTGCGCGGGTCATGCGATGCTGCACCCAAACGAAATGTACGTCCTTATTTTCAAACAAATAGAGCTTTCTTTCAGTGTAATTTGATCACCTGTGCGCTTTTTTTATTTTTCGTGCTATAAACAAAAAAAGGCCAAAAATTTTGAAGAAAAACAATATTTTTTACTTTCAGCTATAAATAATATATAGTAAACTCAAAGTTGGTTACAAATTTAGGCCAAAATGTATTCTGCTACATGTTTTTGGTAAAAAAAATCCCAATAAGTGTATATTGATTGCTTTGTGTGGAAGTTATAGCGCCTACAACTATGGTATAGATACTGCAATTTACGCCATTTTTCTGCTATACAGCGCTGCGCTAGTTTAACGGACAATTGCGCGGTCATGCAATACGATACATAAATTAAATTTACATCCTTTTTTTCCCCACAAATTGAGCTTTCTTTTGGTGGTATTTGATTGCCTATGCGGTTTTTATTTTTTGCGCTACAAAAAAAAGGCTGACAATTTTGAGGAAAAAAAAACAATATTTTGGACTTTTTGCTACAAAACATGTCCAGTAATAAAAAAATGCAAAAATCAAATTTAGTCATAAATTTCTGCCAAAATGCATTCTGCGACATGTCTTTTCTAAAAAAAAAAAACCCAATACGTGTAAATTAATTGGTTTACGTGAAAGTTATAGCATTTACAAATGGCGGGAAAGATACTGGGATTTTTAGTTTTTTTTTTTTATACTAATAATGGCGGCGATCAGCGAATTATGGTGGCGATCAGGGACTTATGGCAGCGACCAGCGACTTATGGCGGGACTGCGGAGGACATTCTGACATTGGAGGGTACTAACTTGGGGTCACTGACATCCCCAAAAACACTAATACAGTGATCAGTGCAAAAAAAAAACCACTGACACTGTACTAATGGCAATGGGGAGGAAGGGGTTAACTTTATTTTGCAGGGAAGGGTTATAGGAGTGAGTGGAGTGTTTTACTAGGGGGCGGGGGTGTGTACTAGACGGGACAAGGCTGATCGAGAAAGAGAAACTGTTCTTTCTCGATCAGCTCATCCTCGAGCTGACAGGGAAGTGACAGACAGCACAGCTACTGCAGCTGTGCTGTCTGTCACTGTTTGCCGCCGATCGCCGAGAGATAGCCGGTAAGGACCGGCTGTGACCTGGCGACTCACATCTGTGGCGGTGATCGGCGGGACAGATAGGGCGGCGGCGCACCTCGCGCGCGCCCCCTATTTGTTTACAAAACACACGTTTTAAAATGTGGTTTTGCCTGCCAGTGCCGCCCTGCCGCCGTATATCTACAGTGGCTGGGCAGCAAGTGGTTAAGTGTCGTTTTACACTAAATTGGAGTGAATCACTGTGTATTGTTTGCAATAGTAGTGTTCACAATTGGAGTATATTCACGTGTACTATAGCTATTTATTTTTATTATTTTGTATATTATTTATATATATAATTTTTTTTATTTAATATATATATATATTTTGTTTTCATGTGTGTATTGGCACGTTATACGGTTTTTGCATGATTCACGATTTATGGCACATTAATTATTTGTTTGAGGTAATACACTATCTTGAGTTTATATTTTTTTTGAGGTAAAAAAAGAAAATCTAGAAACACCACGTGGAATAAAGGAAAGAAAAATACACTTATTTTGAGAAAAAGACTTTACTATATAGAGACTTTAATTATATTTATATTTGATGTATGGTTTTGGACACTTAGGATTGGTTTGGATGCAGTGTAATTTTTATGAGAAAAGTTCCTTTGTATTTACGTTTACTTTGAAGGGTGAAAGTTGTTGACTTTTCTTTAGGGTGTGGTAGTTATTGGTATAGGTGGTATTGTGCTATAAGATTGGTTTAGGATTTATATAGTACCAACAGTTTACGCATCACTTTACAACATAAAAGCAGACAGTACAATTACAATACAAATTAATACAGGAGGGATCAGAGAGCATTGCTTGTTATACTTTATATCTTCTTATTTGGGATTTGATGCATTGCCCCCATGAACTGGTCCATGCCTGCATTTACTAAAGTCAATTCAAGGGGAAAAGTTCCGCTTCAGGAAGACCGCAGGCAATACTGGTAACTGCTTGCCTTTTTTGGGGTACAGCTTCCAGATTTCAGGGTTTTTTTTTAACAGCCAAAAGGATTTCAGTTTTCCCAGATGGTCTGGTAAGCTGAGGGTCTGCCAATTCCCAGTACAAACAATTTTTGTCAATCATAGAGCAAGAATGCATGAAATATATTACATTGTGCCTCATCACTGCAGCTAGCTGCTGATTTACACAGCAAATTGCTATCTTGCATGGAAAATATACTTAGTAGCGGTGACAAAAATGCATCAAATGACTGTTTAGATTATATCATCACCTCCTGGAGAGCTGTTATCACCTATTCGATATATCTAATAACTATTTTTCTATTTGTATACATGATTATTTTGTCAAGGTGATGTTAAAGTCATGACAATTTTTTCTTGCTTGAAAAATGTTACCTAAACTAGATACATCATAAGGTTGCTAAGGAGGGGGTGGGGGGGTGGCTAATGTGTTTCCACAGCCTGGCTAGTTAGTGATGTATCCAAGCTACAGTCGCCTTTGGGAAGTTGTCAGAATGAAGCGAAGGAATATACATTTATTTCAGGATATAGGCAACCACACTCACCTAACTCACCCTTGGCTCCTATCCAGTGCTGGGGGGGGGTAGAGCCTTGGCTTCTGTTCTCCAACCGCCGAACTGGGGCCTAGTGTACTTTATAGTGCTTTATTGATTTATTACTTATTGATTACAAGTATTTGTATAGCACAAACAAATTTATGCAGCGCTTTACATATAGATTATACATTCACATCAACCCTTGCCCTCAAGGAGCTTACAATCTAAGGTCCCTAACTCATATTCACACATACAGTAATAGGACTAATTTAGACAGGAGCCAGTTAACCTACCAGCATGTCTTTGAAGTGTGGGAAAAAACCGGAGTACCCGAAGACAATCCACACACGCACATGGAGAACATGCAAATGTAGGTAGTGCCATGACTGGGATTGGTATTGGGACTGACGACCCTAGTGCTACCAAGCGGAAATGCTAACCACACAGTTCAATAAAAAGCAATACAAATAACTGTCACATATATGATATATTATACTGGTAAATAAGAGTTGTGTAATCCCTGTATCAAGGATATGTGAGAAGTAGGAGCACACAATTCATTCTGGGGAGGCACTGCTTCCTCTTGCCCTCCCATGATGGCAAGGCCATGTCTGTCTATATTCTGCCAAAGCTGACTGATTGTATTACTTGGTAATTAACATAAACTTGTTTTCAAATCTTTTTTGCGAATTAAAAAAATGTGAGGTGGCCATTTGGTATTGTTCAATATATATTTTTCATGGCATATATAAGATTTATGTAGAAGGCACTGAACGTTAGTACTTGATCAGTCCACCTCTGCTCCTTCCATCTGCCTTCCTTCTGTGAAGCAGCAGGATAAAATGAGCATGCTTTATAAAGCTAAAAATAACCTGTTTTTGACAGTCGCATGGTGCTTTGAAACACGGACATTATTTCAATAGCTGCATTATGTTTTTTTCTTTGACTTCTTGAACTTATTTCACATTACTTCTCTTGGTTTTGAGTGAGTGGAAGCATTAGTGCTAAAAACCTATGATCCTACTCAACATTTTCATGTAAAGTAATAATATAAGAGTCAGCCGTTCTAATAAAACCACCCCCTAACTTACTGGTGTCATTGAGATTTGTGCTCTGGGCCATTGCCTACAGATATGTTTGTTTGTATTACAGTAGATTGGTTGCTTCAATAAAAGGAGCTCATTGGATAATATGAAGGATTATGGCATTAAAGCAAAACAAACAAAAAAGGATCCAACAGTATAAACTAATTTTTGGCTTGCCAATTTAAACATATTATTGTTGCCCTTCATATATGCATGCCTCTATGCCACCATGCCACTAGGCTGATGTCTAGAGTATAAAATGCTGATTCCTTTGTTTGGGGAGAGACTAGGGATGAGTTAGCAGCAGCTAAACATAACACAAGGAATATCAATGGGCTTTCAAATTGGTTGGTATTTTAACTTTGTTTCTCTTTTTAGATGTCGAGCATATGAAGACTGCTGTGGATCCAGGTGCTGTGTACGAGCCCTTTCCATTCAGAGACTATGGTATTTCTGGTAGGTATTATCCCATCCATCGATAGACAGAAGCTTCATTGATCCTTTTTTTTTCTTTTTGTCCATATTTTTGAGTTGTTGGGGTTCGAGCTGACAAGCAAAACTATCTTGGCTCCACCAGTGTTGCACCACCTAGAAGCCTACACGTGTCCAAATGCCTACTGCACAACCTATCCTGTTCTATATCTCTGTTCACTCCAGTCATGCTTCTCCAGATCAAAATACCCCCTTTAAATAGCACATACATCCATTCACCATACATGGCATCCACAAACTCGCATGCAGATCTGAGCAGGGACGCTCTTATCCTCTGATGTCTCTTAGATGTTCTCCATGAAATCATCTTTGTTTGTTAAGTAACTTTCAAGAGAGCTGGGAAGCTTTTCAGCTCAGCTGTGTAAGATGGTGATACCACTATATTAGTCTTTAAAGGGTTTTCTGTCTGCACAAGGACAGTCTCTGCAAAGTGAAAAAACAAGAAGCGCACCAACCTTGTGCATTACCTCAGTAACCAAAATTTATTAGTAAAGGAATGGTACGCACAAACAGCGAATAAAAACAGGCATGTAAGTCCTCCAAGGGACTTCAGAGACAAGAGGCCAGCGCGAATCTCATCATGGGGGTAGACACTCAGTACAGCTGACGCTTTTCGAAGGTCGTACCTTCTTCCTCAGAGTTGACTGGACTGAGAGTGTATGTTCCCATTTATACCCATAGATTGAAATTAAATTCAAATTAAATTTTGGTTACTGAGGTAATGCGCAAGGTTGGTGCGCTTTTTTTTTTTCACTTTGCAGTATTGTTCGGGCTTCCCCAGCCTTGTTTTGGAGCTGCACGACCTTTCATGCTCTGGTGGTTGTTTCGTTTGGGTTTGATTTCACCTACCCGCCACCGGCCTGGTTCCTGGAGCGCAGGAGGAATCGTATTTTGTCTTCTGTCAAGGACAGTCTCTCTCATGGCAGACTTTCTCAAACAGTGTAGTCTATCTCAGTAGGACAGTTTTTCATGTAAGAGGGCATTCCTTCTCATAACAGTCTCTCCAATATGGTGGTCTCTCACATGGCACCAACAATGTAGTTGCTGTCTGAGATTGGCACTCTCTTACCAGGACAATGTCTCTTTGAACGGTAGCATCCTTTATGCACTTTCCTTAAAGCTTTACATTTGCAGTATCTCTCATGGATTTATAAAGCCTAAGCTTAGTAAACAAAAACTTTCTAAAATAATCAGCATAAGGGACATTACTTACATTTAATGCACAGTGTCCCTTGTTCTGGTGCCATCTGTCATAGTGGAAATCTTCAGTGCTGTGCCCCCCACCCACGCACACCTAAAGTGGTAATCTTCTGGTGCTGCAGTGGCTAATACCAGATTTGAACCCACGACAGGCACTTACCAAGAATGCCAACTATGCCTACCCTTTCCACCCCCCTACTCCATTCGTAGAAGCTGTACTATAGCTTCCATGAATGAAAAACACTGGAGTAGGCAAACCATTAATTCATCCACCCGTCCTCCCTTTGTAGATTACTTTTCATTCATGGAAGCTATAGTACAGCTTTATGAATGAAGTAGGTGGGTGGAAAGGGTGGGCGTAGTCAGAACTCTTGATGAGTGCCAGTCACAGGTCAAGCACTGGTATTAACCTTTGCAGCACTGAAAGATTACTGTTGTTGAAAGGGGGCAGAGGACTAAAGATTTTCACTATACCAGCTGACACCATCACAAAGAACAGTTTGCATAAAATATAAGTAATGTCCCTTGTGTTGATTTAAATACAACAAAAAATGCTAAACTTAAACTTTAAGTTAGCTAAAAAGGGTATCATCTAAACTCTAAACTTTCAGCATTAATCAATGGCTAATACAGTACTACTGATATAATAAACATTTCTAAACCTACAAGTAGTGTATTATGTATGAATATAAAAATAAACGCATTTATTTCACAAAGATGAGATAACTTTTTTCTTTATGTTCCTCTAGGTTCCTGTTGATGATGGGAGTTCTGTTTTGTTGTGGAGCCGGGTTCTTCATAAGAAGGAGAATGTACCCTCCCCTGCTTGTTGAAGAGCCAACATTTAATGTATCGTACACAAGGCAAACTCCTGGGCCTCCACCAGGTCAGCTATTTACATTCCCCTTTTTGTTTTTAACATACGGTGTTTGATCTTCAAATTGCAATTTAGCAAGAAAGAAAAAAAATTGGTTAAAACCTGAACAATGGCATTGTATAACAATTTTTCATTTATCAAAACTGTGTGTACATGTTATGAAAACCTTCGGTCTTACTGGAAAGCAGAAACTAGAAACTGTAAAATTATTAAAGTGTTACTAAACCCAGGACCCTGCATTCACTATATCAGGTCTCCCACAGTACACAGAACATGAAAGTGCAATTATTTTAGTAAATATAAACTTCTAAATACCTTTTTCTCATCAGCAGTCTTGTGTCTTCTATCAGTGTTCAGCAGAGCACTGGTTAAAGCTTGTAGGAGGAGTCTTCTTTCTGCTCTTGGAGGACGCAAAACCCCTGACCTCTGTCTGGACAGTGCTGGTTGGCCCTGTGCTGATAAAATGCACTCTCTGCCTAAAAAAAAAACCTCTCTAGCAATGCACACTTAAACTGAGCATGTGCATGTGGCTACAGTTCAGTCTGTCTTATCAGGAGATAAAACGTGGCTATTTGAACAAGAGGAGGGGCAGAGAAAACAGGATCAAACGGCCTTTTTACTTTTCTGTGAGCAACTCGGCAGAGCAGGTTCCTGAGAGAGGAGCAGTGAAGTGGAGAGAGGGATCTGAGGAGTTGAAAGCCAATATCCCTGAGTATCCATGGTCCCTTTCTGTCACTCACAAAGTAATATAATACATTGCAGATGTTCACTAAGAGGTTAAGTGGGCTGAAGATTATGAAAACGAAAAGCAGGACTTCCAAATGCTGGAGAATGGTGAGTGCCCACATCTAAACAACAGGATAAATAATGTTTTAAGTGACAATATGAGTTCTGTGAAAACTGTTCTGTATTTAAAAAGAAGGTAAAAAGTGGCTGAAAGAGGCAGCACCTGGGAGTCTATGGGTGAAAGCGACACAGGAAGAGACTAGTGGATCTAAGAGAGAATAGTAAAAAGGAAGAAAAAGAGGATATCAAGTCCACAGGAGTAATTACATCCCTGTATACCCACATCTTTGTACCTGTATACCCAAAACCCCCTTAAAACACTTACCTAACCCCTTGTCAAAAGTAGAAGGAAGATTAAACGCAAAGAGGGGAACAACTATGAAGAAACAGAATGGCAAAAGGAAGATGAGTTAAGACACCCAAAACTACTACGGGAACAATTAAAAACTATACGTCCCTACAGGAGAAATGCCCGGGGGGGAGGGGGGGGGGGGTTCTCTGGAGAGACAATGGGAACCTAACAGTAGACAAGATGTGGAAAATAGCAGTGGAGATCAATCTAGACTGTCAATAGAGACCACAGATTTGAATTTAGGTAAAGAAAAATCAAATAAAGTACGTGTAGAGGAAAAAAGAAAAAAAAGAAGAACAGATAGAAATCCCACAAATGCCAACAAAGACTGATATGGCAGATATGTTTGCGAAGCTAGAACTCTCAATTAAGAATGATATGGCAATGCTGCACAAGGATCTAGGACAGGTGTTAGCTCGAGTGGAAGAAAAAAATTGGATAAACATGCACAAGCAATATCTGAATTAAAGGGGCAAATGGAGGAAATGCGAAGTGAACAGAGTAAATTATTATATAAGTAGAAGACTAGGAAAATAGAATAAAAAACTTGAAGATCAGGGGGCACCCCAAGGAGAAGATTTAAGAAGCGTAATGAATAAGTTACTAAATTCAATACTGGAAAGACCGATAACAGAGCAGCTGTTGAGCAGCTGAGAATACACATAGTACATAGGATAAGAAGGCCCCAAGGAGTGGCTATAGAAACAACAAGAGATGTAATAGTAAGATTCCACTATTACGAAGATAAAGCAAAGATCTGGAAGAAAATGAAGGGAATACCCTCAATGAAATACAAAGGAGCAACCTTACAGATCTATGCAGATATAGCCCCTGAAACAGGAAGAAGGAGAGCTCTGAGACCATTATTAGAACAGATGTGTAAAAAAAATATCCAATACAGCTGGGGTTTCCCAGCATGTTTAATGGGATGGAAAGACGGATGATCAGCTAGACAGAGCTGCAGATACCAGAAATTCTGGGATGGACTGAGGGGACAGAGAGGGGGAGGGAGCAGGAGGAGGAAAGATGGCTATCAATTTCTAAGGGAAGAGACAGTAACAGAGACTCACTGAATGGGAGAAGATAATATCTAGGGAAAAATATATTACCCACTAGAGGGATTAGAACAGGAGTATAATGGAAAGTGAGAGTTGGGGTCTTCTCTTTCGTCTCCCTTTTTTTTTCTTCTTCTCTCTGTCCCCCTTCTCTCTGTTACAATATCCAGGACCCCCCCCCCCCCCCCCTTTCTCTCTCAGGCGCTCAGGTTTTCTGCCTGAGAGAGGGAGGGGGGGAGGGGGGAGAGACGGAGGTTGATTGAAAGATATAATATAGGCGGGATAAATGGAGGCCAATACACTTTCGGACCCACACTCCAAAAGGGGTTGGGGAGAAGGGATGCGTGCATAGACAGAGCCTTACCCCAATTCGAGTGATCGAGGACGGGAGGTATCCCACAATGGATCCAAAGGCTATAGATGAGCCATTGGTTTTTTTAGGGAAGGGGGCAGGGGTGAGGGGGGGTGGAGGGGCAGAAAGGGAGGGAAGAGAGAAGGATAACAGTCTAGGAGTTTTCAGCCAGGTCAGTCGTATCATATCTAAAAAGTAGAAGGAAAGGGAAAAGGGATGGAAGAAGAAAAGATAATTAACATTATAACATACAACGTAAAAAGATTAAATACCCCGGTGAAAAGACATAAGATTTTAAGGGAAATGGGCTAACGTTCAATGGACATAGTGTTTTTACAAGAGACACACTTATCTCACAATACAAGAATTCGATTACAATCAAAAAATTATCCAGTTTGCTATTACGCTGATTCTCCAATAAAACAAGCTAAAGGGGTAGCTATAGGGATGGCGACAAATATAAGATTCACTATTGAATATAGAATGGTGGGTCCAGAAGGGGGAAATTATATGAAATGGAATGTACATTTGCAAAGACTTATAGCCCAAATAAGAATCCAACTAGGTACCTAGAAGATATATTGAGGAAGTTGAATGGATTTTTAAGAAAGGGAAACTGATTATGGCAGGGGATTTCAACTTTTGTTTTGTATGGATCACAAATTGGATTCATTATCACATGTACGGAGGGATGGAGGTAAGGGTTTCAGACAAATAAAAAAGAAATTACATCAACACCAATTGGTAGACGCATGGACAATAAAATATCTAGGTGTAAAGGACTATATGTTCTATTCCTCAGTACATGCAATATATTCTAGATTGGATTATATAATGATAGAACATAGATTGTGGGAGTCATTGATCAAATCCAATATAGAAGTTACATCATTGTCAGATCATGCACCAGTTACAATAAAGTTGAAAGTGGGGAACGAACAAAGTAAAAGAGCTGCATGGAAATTAAATGAAACACTTATACAAGATCAGGAGACGGAAGTAAGTATACAAAATGAAATAGAGCAGTACTTCCAATTAAATGAAATGGAAGGAGGTCTGAATCGCTACGGTTTGGGAAGCCCATAAGGCATACATAAAGGGGGATCCTGATTTCCATAGGGACAGAAAAGAAGAAAAAACAATGGGAAAAGATAAATATAGTAATATAGGAATTATACGAACTAGAGCAAAAACATAAAGAAGGGATGGAAACCGTAATACATCAGAAGATAATATTAAAAAGAGTAGAACTAAGTAATCTAATGGAACAGGAGACAAATAAGGCTTTTAATGTGGTGCTAAAAAAAAGATATCAGTGGGGAAATAAATCCGGGAAATATCTGGCCAGGAGGATAAGGAAGAAGAAATCAATGAATTATATAGAAAATATCAGAGGTAAATCAGGAAAAATAGTATATTCAACTAAACTAATTGTGAGTACATTCCAGAAATACTATAGCTCCCTTTATGCATTGACCTCAAAGATGCCAAGAGAACTGGAGGAGGATAGAAATAAAAAAATCCAGACTTATTTAGAGACAGCCGCACTACCTAAATTAGAGGATGAAAGATTGAGAATGTTAGATAGTCCAATAACACAAGAAGAGGTGCTTGAAGCTCTTAAGAGTACACAAACGGAAAAGCCCAGAGCCAGGCGGGTACACTGTAAGAAATTACAAGAAGTTTAAAGAACAATTGATCCTGAAAATATGCGCATATATGAATGCAACAGTGGAGTAGTGGAGGAAACACAAATAAGAAAAGAATCACTATTAGCACATATAACAATTATCCCTAAAGAAGGCTTATTACAATGTGCCAGTTATAGGCCAATAGTGGTATTGAACACAGATACAAAATTATATGTAAAAATCATTGCTAATAGGATGAAAGATCTAACGTCGGAGTGGATCCACACAGATCAAGTAGGGTTTTATACCAGGGAGAGAAGGAAAAGATAATGGTTTGAAGTCACTGCTATTGCTACAGAAGAGTAGGAAGGAGGGGTCCCCAATCTTATTCCTGTCAATAGATGCTGAAAAAGCATTTGACAGAGTAGACTGGGGATTCATGATGAGTACCGTATTTTTCGTTCCATAAGACACACTTTTTTTCCCACAAAAAAGGGGGGAAAATGTCAGTGCATCTTATGGAGCGGCCGGTCCGGTATTTCTACAGCCGACACCGTGTCAGAATACTGGGCTGGCTGATCAGCTCTTCTCTGCAGCAGGACCTTACCTGTTCCTCGGTCCAGCACTGTACAGTCTTCCCGCATCTTTAGTTTGGGCACCCGGCTGTGACAGCTGGGTGCCCACTGTGCTTTGTGAATGGCCCGGCGTCTTCTGGGACCTGTCATGTGTCCCAGAAGACGCCGGACCATTCACAAAGTGCACCGCTTCTTGCGCATGTGCAGTGTGCACCCGGCTATCATAGCCAGGTGCCCACACTAAAGGGAGGACAACTCTGCGGAAGTGGGAGAGGGTACCTGTCAAATTCAGGTACTCGCTCACCCTCCCTACCCAAAGGTCCACAGTCTCTTGGTCATCCCCTGTACTGTCTGCAGTCTCTTAGTAATCTCCTGTACTGTCTGCAGTCTCTTGGTCATCCCCTGTACTGTCTGCAGTCTCTTGGTCATCTCCTGTACTGTCTTCAGTCTCTCGTCATCTCTTGTACTGTCTGCAGTCTCTTGGTCATCCCTTGTACTGTCTGCAGTCTCTGGTCATCTCCTGTACTATTTCCACAGTCTCTGGTCATCTGTACTGTGTCCGCAGTCTCTGGTTATCCCATGTACTATGTCCGCAGTCTCTGGTTATCTCCTGTACTATGTCCACAGTCTCTGGTCATCTCCTGTACTGTGTCTGCAGTCCATTAGTTCAGAATTTTTTTTTCTTGTTTTTCTCCTCTAAAACTTAGGAGTGTCTTATGGTCAGGTGCTTCTTATGGAGCAAAAAAATACGGTACTTTAGAAATAATAGGTCTAGGACCAAAAATGATTAAATGGGTTAAATCTCTATATAGTTACCCCTCTGCAGCAGTAAAAGTTAATGGCTCATTATCAGAGCCGTTTGATTTATATAATGGAATGAAACAAGGGTGCCCACTTTCACCACTATTATTTGTTTTATCTTTAGAGCCTTTGCTAGCAACAATAAGGCAGAGTGTAGATATAAAGGGGCTTCAAATTGCAGAAATAGAACATAAAGTAGCAGCGTACGTGGATGATATGCTGTTTTATGTAGCAAATCCTAGATTAACATTACCAAACCTTATGAGATTGTTAAAACACCATGAAGAACTATCAAATTTTAAAATCAATCTTTCAAAATCAGAGATAATGGATATCAATATCCCAAAGGTAGAAAAGCAGTCCTTGCAAGAGAAGTTTCCATTTACTTGGAGGGACAAAGAACTTAACTATTTAGGGGTAAAGCTGACTCCATCACTTAGGAATATATACCAGATAAATGATATACCATTATTAAATGAGATTAAGAAGGAGTTGAGAAAAACCTCAATCAGATCCTTTTCCTGGTTAGGACGAATAAATATAATAAAGATGGTGATAGTTCCTAAACTTTTATCTAAAATCCAAATGCTCCCAATCTACTTATCGCAAATGTATTTTAGAATCTTAAAGAGAATGATAACAAAATACATATGGGCAAACAAAAAACCTACGGTGAAGTATGGCCTTTTTACACAGTGCAGAGGATTAAACCCTTAGGTTCCACAGTGAGTATAACAAGCATGCTTTACTGCATATACAGACTGATTTTACCGTTGTGGGTTTAGTAATACTTTAAATAACCAATTATCAATTCAAAGGGAAACTGGCGTAAAAGAGATAACAGGACTGCCATTGTTGACTAACATCTGAAAAAGTTTGTTGTCAACGGTAATCCTCTGGCTATGATACTTACGGATATACTGCTCCATAAAAAGGATGCAGACAGTAATATGATAAAGTCAAAACTTCTGACCTGAATACTTGTTCCAGCTCATTGACCACACCTAATTTCATAACTGAGTCCAGGACACTAGCAGCAGGATAGCAAGGAAGCTAGCCATTGCCTACACATTTTCTTCTTAATTCTTTCATGACAGACGTACTTGAAATCTTTTCCTTGCAGTTGGTAAAAAGCAATATTGTACTCGACACATTGAAGAAAGTTGTATATGTCCAACTTTTCCACTACATCATGCCAACGGAAAGCACAGCTTACATTGAATTCAATGGGGAAATTCTTATTGTATTATGGAGCAGAGATACATGTACATGTAACTTTTCTTGTTATTTACCTGGCTGTCATGCTGATATAAAGGCTTCAAAACATTCAGTGTCACGGACCAGGCACAGTTATGCATATTTGATGTTCTGACGCTTAAACTATGGCAGCTGCTTGCTTGTTCCAGGTCAATGACTCAAAGCCCAACTTAAAGTGGTTTTAAAGACAAATTTCTTTTACCTCGATGCACTCTCTGCATTAAAGTAAAAAAAAACCCTTTAACAGCAGCTACTGCAGCACCCCCCCCCCCTTTGACTCAGTGCTGTCCTGTCTGCAGCATCACTTTGCTCCTGCTCCTGGTCTCACAGGATTTGCTGATAGCAGTGGCAGATATTGGCTCCTACTGCTGTCAATCATATACTGTGGGAGGACGAGCTGAGCTGCATTGTGTTTATAGATGCATACAACCCAGCTCAGGATTGAGTCTGCATGTCTGCCCCATAGCAAGCAGTTTGCTATGGGGGCAGATGGAGAATGAGAAGAGGAGGGGACAAGATCGCTGGTGAGGGACCCCAGAAAAGGAGGTTTGGGGCTGCTTTATGTAAAAACATTGCACAGAGCAGGTAAATATCACGTTTTCCATTTCTAGAAACAAAAATTAGGTTTAGAACTCCTTTAAGTCATAGAAAGATACATTTAGTAAGATATACTTTGCATTAACAACCCCCATTGTCATTGTCTTATCTCCATTTCCAGTAGGCACCAGAGTCTGATCGTGCTGTTCAGTGCTCTCTGATTCGGTCAGATACACCTCTGCACTATAACTGAACGTAACAAGACACAAAAGGCACAATGCGGTGTAAACATTGGAGTGATCGATTGTTATATTCTCACCCCTAAATCTCATTTAGTTGGGATTTACACCTACTTTCAAACACAAGATGCTATAAAGTAATACATGTCTTACCCCAGCTCCTAAATCAGTATCTTAGATAGCAAAAGGGTTCCTCGGTAAAAGAAACCTGGTGCAACAATCAAACAACAGATCACTATCTTTTAACTATGAGCTGTTCTAATTTTTTTTTTTTATTTCAGGACCTCAGCAGCCAGGGATGCCCTACTACTCAGATCCAGGAGGAATCCCAACTCCTGCTCCCTCTTTTCACATGCAGCCGAACTCACCACAAGGGAACCCAGCATTTCCACCTCCCCCTTCTTACTACAACACACCTCCACCACCCTACGAGCAAGTGGTGAAGTCTTGCAAATGAAGCAATTTTGCACTTGGCGATAATTTTTCATAAAATTGACTTTTTACAATTGTTTCCACTTCACCATGAGGAGGACTATCCCTTGGCATGATACTTGCTCTGCTGGCATCAAAGCATTGTGTGCCTTGGCCGGGCCCAGGAAATGGAACAAATCTTTCTAGAAAATGGTTGCAGTATGAACAATTCTCAACTGTTTGTTAACCTTCTCAGCACAAGCATGGGGTTTGAAGAATACATGCACTCCTCCATTGCTGAAAAGGCTTCTTCTTCTTTTTTTTTTTTTTTACACATTCATGGTATGTGGTTCTTTCATTGTAACAATGTTGGTGGTGTGCAGTACATATCTTTGCCTATTATACCTGAGAGTGCAAGCAGATTTAAGCAGTATGTACATTTAAAGTCATGTTTTTCATGGAAACCATTTTTGGATAACTTGTCGTTCTCATCCCGATTACATAAAAAGTAGAAGCTGCAAGTAAAATGTTGTATGAGGAGACACCTGTAACTCTACAATTCCATTTGAAAAGGAAACTACTATGTTTGAGACGGGTGTCGGGCTTTTTGCACAAATAAAAACTTCTGGCACATCAAAATTGACTCACATTAATTGATGCTATCCTAATGTTGGTTTTATTCTGAAGAAGCCCTCTAGCAGAACACAACACAAATGCTAAATATTCCATTTGATTGGTCATTAACATCTGGCTAGTTTTGATGCTCCTAGTGCTCAATGTTCTGCTTTTTGCCTGTGTTTGGCCAGCAGCAATTCTGAAACCTCTCATTGACAGCAAGAATTCTAGACAGTCTTCTCAGCAAGTTACTATATGTAATGTAATTCAGTTCACTGGAGCCAGTAATTTTGTAGCAGATTTTGATCTTATTAAAACGCTGTTCGGTAGATCTAGGCAAGGTCTTGCTGGGGCTAATAAAAAGATACCAGCTAAAACCTGATAAGATAGCTGAAATTTGTAGTTCTGTAAATAAAAAGTTTAAAGAAGTGTGTGTGTAAAGGTTATAAAGTAATTATGTGCAAGCCCAAATGATTAAGTAATCATATAAAATATAGCAATGGTTATTATTATTATTGCTTATTATTTTTACTGACTGCTAGGCCATGTCTTTCAATATTTGCTTGTTGCCGTGTTGGGGATGGCTTAGATCAGCCTTCCTCAACCTTTTCTACACAGAGGAATCCTTGAAATGCACTTTCCAGGATTGGGAATCCCCTGATAAAAGTGACTATATCTACTACTCCTGATACATTAGTTTGATGGCCATTGGAAAGAATGCTCCTTAAACTTGGGGTCATTAGGAAGAATTACCCTATATAGGTAGCTAAAAAGATCAATGGTGTCAGTGGGAACATATCTGAAAGGCAGAAATTGCTTATTGCTCAAGGAACCCTTAGAAACCACTAGAGGAACCCTAGTTCAGAAACCATGTCTTAGACTAAGACTCTGAAATCTGGTATGAAGAATGAGATAGGTAGCTATTAAGGACAGGGTAGTTACCTGGAAAATATGGTTGTACTCCATTGAACCACTAGAGGCTACCATGAGTATGTCCATCCCATACAAATAAATGGGCCATGGTGCGCATGGTCAATGTTAAGAGGGGAATTCTTTGCAAAGGCATGTTTCTTTGCCAGCATGTTCACACAGCTCACATTGCTGGTACATGGCTGAAGGTATGTAACTGTGAGGGGAGGAAAGGATGACTTCACCAAAAAGGTATAAGGCTAAAAGGTCATTCCCCACACTGCTGCAAATTCTGTACATAGCACCAGTCTCTTGTAGTGCACTATGTTGAAAGCTGTTGATTTAGGAATACATTATGTTAAGATTGGTGACAGTATTTTCACAATTCACACTCCCAGGTACCACAGAGAAAGATCGGTCTCTAAGGGAGCCCATCAAAAATTTGCCATGGAGCCCCATGATCTGCAGTTACACCCCTACTTAGGTTTACATTCACTTTTGTGATAAATTATGTATTTGAGTTTGATCAGTTCATTTTTCAGATCATATTTGTTTTTTGGGTGTGATATTTTGTAACTCATATGCTAAAAAAATATAGTTTGTTAGCAGGGGTTTGCTGCAAAGGAAGAGGAATATAGCAAAAATATAGAGCTAGGGTAGGCAATGCCTCTATCACAATATACCAGTATGTTATTAGACCTGATTCACACTGTGCGGGTCAGTTGTGGGTGCAGGAATTGCATCTTTTCCTGTACCCACAGCCACCTGCAGCCGAATCATGCTGCTCTTACGGGATGCGTGGGGTTCTGAATGGCACCCCCACGCATCTCAGTCCACAGTGTGATCGCAGGTGCAGGAACTGCAGGGAAATCGCATGGTCAAAAAGACCATGTGATTTCCCTGCAGATGTGTTTTTGAAAAGGTGCATGAACCTTTTTTTGTGTGGGATACATGGCATAGCAGCCCATTCAAATGAATGGGCTGCCGGGGCCAAGCAAACACGGGCTGCACGGCCCGCACTAGTGTAAACCGGGCCTGATATATCCTGGCCCTGCAGTTTTGAACTGCTGGAAAAATCTAGGTACCCTGGACACTAGCTAAAGCTCAAGGAACATACAAAGGGGCAGAAAGGCATGTACAGAAATGTCCTTAAGTGGTGTACAGCATTCAATGTGATGTCAATCACATGCATACTATTCAGTACTTTTAAAGGGAATCTATTCTGAAAGAAGCATGCTTGCAGTGATTGTAGCCATATTAATGCACTTGCAACAAAAATGATGGAGTACTGTCTGTGATACTTTTTTCATTTGCACTAACATTAAGATTTTCAGGAAAAGATTTCGGGGTATACACTCTTCAGGGAAAACCTCAATAAAATGTATCTTTCCTACTTAAAGTGGTTGTAAACCTCAGATATGAAATATGAACATAGCATATCCTTCTATAGTGTGTACTTGTCTCAATTAAGAGCACAAAGTGTCATTTCTGTCTGCTGCTTCTTTTCTCTGCTATCAGCATGAATAATTTCTGACAAGTTTTCCTGACATCAAAAGAAAAATGGTGACAGGGGAGGGACCTCCAGCAGATTGACAGTCTCAGTTCTGTTCCTGATTGCTGTGTGAAGGGGGGTGTCCCCTCCAATCAGCTCTCAGACCTCTCTTCACTGAGCTCTGCAGAGTATAACTTTGGATCTCTGCCCCTTTTTTTTTCTGAACGTTGGCACACTTTATAAATTCTGGACTTTGGATGTAGAAAAGAGAACACTGCAGATAAACAGGTGCAACTTGTGTAGGAGGATTTGTTTCACCCTGTGTATCACATGAGGCCAGTATTTCACTGGTTATATGTAAGGGTTTACAACCAATTTAAAACTATTTTTTCCAAGGCAAAAATCAAATATCGCTTTTTTCACAGCAGATTGGTAGTATATACAGAATCTGTATCTACATTTCTTGTTTTGTCTTCCTGTAACATAGAGAAATGAATGACTCTCATCCTCAGTGGGACACTATAAAATGCATGCTTTCTGCTCTTCTGCTGACACTCTTAGGGCTAGTTTACATGAGCCTCGCTCTCCAAAGAGTGACCTGTGGCAGTTTGCTTTTTCAGACTTTTTCACAGGCGTTGAGAAGGCATTGCATTGCCTTCCTATACCAAGAAGGCAAAGAGATTAATACAAAGAGAATGAAATGTTACTGAGTAAACAGGTGCATATCAAAACTTTAAAAAACTGGTTCTGAAGGTTTTTATTTCCCCTGGATACAAAATTAACAAATGAAAGAGTTTGATGTGCATCCTACATTGCAACAAACTAGGGAACCTCATAGATTTATAAACTTCTACAGCAGTTTGAATTTTACATGGATATACTGGAGTTAAATCTTGAATGTAGAAATTCATTCCCAGCTGTATAACATGCAGTATTAATATGTGCTTGCTCTTATCTGAAGTGAGATTTGTGTGTAGCCTGATATAGGAATATGCTGAGCCAAGCTTCTTTGTCTGGTCTAGAAAATGACTCTGCTAAAAGAGAAACAACATCACTGCTTGGATTATATTCTTGACAGCCTGTGAGCAGAATCATTTTTTCAGTTTCAGTCCCAGTGGCAGCCACTATAGAGGAATGAAAGCTGAACTGCAATATGTGAAATTCTGTACCCTTTCTCCGACTCACTTTCACCATTTTATACATAAAAAGGTTGCATACTGACAAGCTTTACCAGTTTGCGTGAATACATTTCTGACATGTCTCAATCTCAGCAGTACCATTCTTCAAAAAAGCTGTACCTTTCATCATTAAGTGTAGTCTTTATGCTCCAGTCAAGTGCCTAGACCTAAGCTGAAATGATGTGACCAGTCAGCTGCAGGCAGGAGGAAGCATTTTCTCAATCTCCCCTGACTGGGTTCCCAACACCGCAGTTGTCCATGACTGCAGCCACCAGCAACTCTTTGTGCTGGAAGGGGGGATTTATGCTAGGAGGAGAAATTTGGGAGAGGAGATGTTTGTTGGGAGGAGGAATTTTGAGAACAAGAATTTGTGCTGGGAGGGTGGATTTTAGCAGGAGGTAATTTGTACTAGTAGGAGAGAGTCATTCTTGCATTTTGGGGGAGAATTTGGCTTGCAGAGGAAATGTGTGCTTGGAGGTTGAGCTTGCAGATTAGTGCCTATTTTTTTTGTTTCGGGAGGGAGGGGGGGATTTTTGATGAAAAGGGAAAGTGGGGAGAGTATTGCCTGTGAGGGAAGGGATTTACACTTTTTTGACCCATGCACACCCATGGGGTCATACGCCCCTGATTCCTGAACTCTGTTTTGTACTCCTGACCCCCACACTCGATACATTACATACCCTGACCCATGCTTATATACGGTGACCCTTGGGAGATGGCAAAATCCTGTGTTACATTTATATATTATTGAGCTTGAATACACCTAACATGAAAAATATGTGATGATAAGTGTCACTTAAGATCTGTCCCTGGTAGACTCCAATGTATTTGAGAAATATGATCCAGTTTATC